CTGGTCCGTTCCACCGACGGGGGCCGGGCCCCACACGTCCATGTGGAGAGTCTGCAGAGGAGCAGTGGTCGGAGGAAACTCGGAGGAGTGAGGAGCGGCGCGCTGCCGCCCCTCGACGCAAGGAAGGCACGGCGGCGCAAGTGAGCGCGGGAGGGGGGGCAGGGTCTCAGGGAGGCCAGTGACCAGGAGACGGGAGTGCATGCGGCGCAGACGCTGCAGGGAGGGGTGACCAAGACGGTGGTGCCAGCGCTGAGTCTCGTGCGTGAGTACTCGGCACGAGCAAGACGCAGCTAACTGTCCTGACGCAGACGCTCGACTCGACGTAGCTACCTGACCTGACTCAGCCACCTGTGCAGACGCAGTGGTCAGTGTGTACAGACTAGACCCAGGCTGTCGAGTGAACGTAGCCAGGTGACGGCCAGTCCGGGAGCACGTACAGATCGCCACACGCTGCCCTCCAGGAATAAAGGTATCAACCCAGACATCCTGAATGGCAGCGTTGCTCACCAAGTTCGTCGAGAACGTGGGGAGGTGGAGACCTGACAAAGAGCCGGAGGGGACTGCTGGACAAGGGAGGACCGTGGAGGCTCTCGCAACCACTGGGCCCCCAGAGGGGTCAGCCAGTGAGACTGGGACAGGTGCTGTGAGTGGTGTGACTGTGGTGCAATCACGGAAGAAGCAACGTGACGCGCCGGAGTCAAGCGTGAAAGTGTGCAAGACCTCAGCTGAGGCAGGACCTGTGGTAGTAGACGCACTAGCAACTAGAGCGTCGGTAGACTCACGGGCACCTAGAGCTGCAGCAGACTCACTAACACCTGGAGTGGCAGCAGACTGACTAACACCTGGAGTGGCAGCAGACTCACTAACACCAAGAGCGGCGGTCTTAACAGAACGATAACCTCCACCACCAGGACGACCTCGCTGAATAACCCACTCACGAAGCTGCCGAGGGGTGGGGTCGTCCGGGAGAAGCAGTGCCCGCTGCTGTCCACCCCTGGCCGCAGCGACTGCCGCGGAAGTGGCCATGACGGACAGTGACTGTCAGGAGTAGGTCCAGCACCTCCAGCTCCTACAGCGCTAGCAGCACCTCCTACACTCCCAGCAGCACCTCCTCCACTCCCAGTAGCACAAGTAGCAGCAGCAGCAGTAGTAACAGCAGCAGGGCGGTTCGGTGGGGGTGGGAGGCCGCACCTCCACCACTCCCAGCAGTACTCCCTCCAGTAGCAGCAGTAGCAGGGCGGCTCGGGCAGCAGCAGCAGACCGAGCAGCAGCAGCAGCAGCAGCAGTGACAGCTCGGGCTGGGCGGCGCGGCTCGGACACAGTGGCAGAGCAGCAGTAGCACTAGCTGTAGCAAGTGCAGTAGTAGGAGCTGCAGCAGTAGTACTAGCTGTAGCAGCAGTAGCTTCAGTCAAGCAGCAGTAGCTTCAGTCAGGAGCAGCTGTAGCAAGTGCTGGAGTAGGAGCTGCAGCAGTAGCACTAGCTGTAGCAAGTGAAGTAGTAGGAGCTGCAGCAGTAGTACTAGCTGTAGCAGCAGTAACTTCAGTCAGGAGCAGCTGCAGTAAGTGCTGGAGTAGGAGCTGCAGCAGTAGCACTAGCTGTAGCTGGAGTAGCTTCAGTCAATAGTAGCTGTAGCAAGTGTTGGAGTAGGAGCTGCAGCAGTAGCACTAGCTGTAGCAGCCGTAGCTTCAGTCAGTAGCAGCTGTAGCAAGTGCGGTAGTAGCAGCAGCAGCAGTAGCACTAGCTGTAGCAGCACTAGCTTCAGTAGCAGCAGCAGTGAGTAGCGCTAGCTGTAGCAGCAGTAGCAAGGAGGAGCAGCTGCAGCAAGTAGCAGCAGCAGCAGCAAGGAGGAGCAGCTGCAGCAAGTAGCAGCAGCAGTTTCAGGGCAGTACAGGCGGCAGCAGCACTGCAGCAGCAGTTCAGGCGCAGCAGTGTAGCAGCAGCAGCAGCGAGTGCAGCAGTAACACGGGCCGCGTGCGGGCCAGGCGCGGGCTGTAAGGGCTGCGTGCGGGCCTGGCGCGGGCTTTACGAGCTGGGTGCGGGCCTGACGTGGGCTGTACGGGCTGCGCGACGGCCTGGCGCAGGCTGTAAGGGCTTCGCGACGGGCCTATGCGGGCTGTACGGGCTTCGCGACGGGCCTACGCGGGCTGTACTGGCAGCTAAGGCGCGGTCAGGGGGGGTCGCACGTGACTAGGAAGGAAAATCGCGTCTAGGGCAGAAAAAGGAACCGTCTCGCCTAGAGCACGGTTTCGAATTTCGCGTTTCTCCTAGGGGCGCGACTCGGGCAGTAGATCGAAATAGTAGTGGTGGGCCCTTTTAAACATTCGGTCCTAAGGAGCATTGTGCTCTTAAAACCGAAATATGAAATAATGAACCCCGTCCCAACTTGAAATACGAAGCGAAACGCAAACGAGGCCGGGCTGTCAAAAACATTGTTTGTAACCTTTTGAGTGTGCAGATCGAACCCACATGATTGGCTCCCGCCAAAAACGAAAAAAAATTGCCTCTCACGCGAGGAGTCGCTCTCAACGTTTAGCAATCGCCATTGCACGACGGCTGCATGGCGATCGTTTTGATCGTTGGGCCCAACTTCAATTTCAAGTTGGGCCTGGGGTTCATTACTCCTTTCCATTGTCGAAGTCTCTTATCTTCCTTAGCCTAGAATAGCTCTAAACTAGCGATTTTGCCTAGGTAGGTACCGACTAATTCGGTTGCGTAATCTATGCTGGCCTAGTAACGAAGTGCGCTTTCGCCTCTCGCGCAATCGTTACGTTTCTGTTACTTCGGCCCCTCTCGCTCTCCGTTCTCGCGCTTGTTCTGAACCGCCCTCATGTCGCCCACCCCGTTTCTTCCCTCCCTTCCCGTCGCCTCCGCGCTCTCCCCTCCCATCGCGTCGCCCTCGTGCCTTCCTTCCCGCTCCCGCGCCTTCGTACTCGCCCGTCCCGTCCCTTCTCCGTCCCTTCGCATCAGCCACCTCGTCACCCTCCATTTCCTCCCGTCGCCATCCCGTTTCCCGTCGCCCTCCGTTCAGTTCGCCTTTGCGATCTGCTCTCCCATCCCATCGCCCCCGTTATCTCTCCGCGCTGCCCGTCGCGCTCGCTATCTCCCCCCTCTCCCTGTCGCCCTCGCTATCTCCCTCCAGTATCCGTCGCCCTCTCTGTCTCCCTCACGATCTCCCCTCTCCTCTCACGCCGTTCCTCTGACACTCCTATCGCCGCCATCGCTCTCCTCTCTACCCGCGCCTCTCATCCTTCCGTCGCCGTCGACCTCCCTCTCCCTTCCCGTCACCCTCTCTCTCGCATCCCCCTTCCCGTCGCCCTCTCTCTCGCAGCTCCCTTCCTGTCGCCCTCTCTCTCGCCGCTCCCTTCCTGTCGCCTTCTTTCTCGCTCCTCCCTTTCCCGTCACTCTCTCTCTCTCGCAGCTCCCTTCTCGTCGCCCTCTCTCTCGCAGCTCCCTTCCCGTCGCCCTCTCTCTCGCAGCTCCCTTCCCGTTACTCTCTCTCTCTCGCAGCTCCCTTCCCGTCACCCTCTCTCTGGCAGCTCCGTTCCTGTCGCCCTCTCTCTCGCCGCTCCGTTTCCCGTCGCCCTCTCTCTCGCATCTCCCTTCCCGTCGCCCTCTCTCTCGCAGCTCCCTTCCTGTCGCCTTCTCTCTCGCTCCTCCCTTCCCGTCACTCTCTCTCTCTCTCTCGCAGCTCCCTTCCCGTCGCCCTCTCTCTCGCAGCTCCCTTCCCGTCGCCCTCTCTCTCGCAGCTCCCTTCTCGTCGCCCTCTCTCTCGCTGCTCCCTTTCCGTTGCTCTCTCCTTCTCCCCTCCAGTCCCCCACCCACATTCACCTCCCGTCGCCCCCCTTGCCACTCCCTTCTCTTCACCTCCGCAGGACCAATCAACCCCCTTGCCTGATTTTGCCTATGTTTGCGCAGAATTTTGCCTGATTTTGCCTGTGTGTGCGCTGGATTTTGCATATGTGGATTCTGGCCTAGTGTTGATGACTCCTCCAGTGAATGCAGCATTGGTACCTTGCGCCAAATTCGCACCCACGATTGTGGATGAATGTCGCATCCAATCAGATTTGTAAACAAGTTCCAAATGTTCGCTGTTCACATCGACGCCCAACTGGGACGAAAAAAATACAAAACGCACAGCACTTCGACTTTTCTATCGTTCCAAACAAACTTGTGTTTTCAAGTGGACCCAACTAGAAGGGGGGGGTCACTATTTTAGTTGCTGGCTCAAATACCATGTTAGAATCACTAGTAGCTAGGTGAGGAATGATGATTAGGTGAGGGAGAGGGGGTACAAGAGTGTCGAGAGAGTTGGGTTGTACCCTCTAAGGTGTGACCCTACACAACCTAGAGTAAGAACATAACAATATGTTTTGACACGAATCGCGTACAGAGTCTGTTTACAATGACGGGTCGATACGCAACCCGTCCGCGACATCAGCGCGTTTCACGCTGACAAATGAAAAATACATTAAAAGTCGCACAAGGGCAACACGCGTTTGTGACATTGTACGTTATAAGCTGGTTTTACGCGTCACAAAAGGATTGAGACTCAAGTGTCTCCACAAGAACGCACCCTTAAATTAGGTGCCAACATATATATTATCTACATAGTAAATATATATTATCTACATAGTGAGCTGCTGCATGCATTTCATTAGCAAATTAGCATGCACCAGCTTGCATTTGCCTCTTCCAGCAAATCTGTGAGCATGTATCTGCCTATGCTGCAGAGTCGGAGCCTCCTCGTAACATATTCCTCCTGCCTCATGATGAGTTAGCAGTGCCATAAGCCACAGCAAGCTGCATGTGGCATCAAGATTGTATCATCATGATCCCCCAAAAGGCCACCCATAATCATAATCCTCAAGTGCCCGCCCACTAGCCACAGCAAGCCTGAAGTTTGCCAGTTATGATTCCACCCAGAAGCTGCTGTATGCATGCTTTCCGCTAGTGACACATGCACTTGCATTGACGGGAATTGACAGGTGGTGCTCGCGTTGTCAGCAGGCGACAGCTGGCACTTGCTGCTGCTTCAGATACTCCAGTGCCTGCTGCAGAATCAGCGCCTCCTCATAATCCTCCTGACAGTTGGCATGCACCCCTGCGTCCCACACCTGCTTCTGCTGCAGTTTCTGCTTCTGCTGGTGCTGCTGCTGCTGCTGCTGCTGAGCCTGTTTCTCCTTCTGCTCCTTCTGCTGCAGCAACAGTTGCTGCTGCGACTGTACAAGAGCTGACTTGACACCGCACGAACCCCACAGAACCTTAACATCCTTGGCACAATCCTCCCTGTCAATCCAGTCCCTGTCAGCAGCACAATTTCTGTGAGCCCGATAAAAGCCCAAACCGTCAGACGTTACATTATTATTCTGTTTGCCCTGCCGGCCCTTTTCAATATCCTCCACACTCCCCTTCAGAATCGCATCTCCATTGATCCTATCCCAGAAACTCAGGCCCTTCTGTTCCTTTACCTCCATGCCATTTTCCCTTCCATCATCGCCATCGCGTCCGTCCCCTCCGTTCCTTCCGTCCCCTCCGTCCCATCCTCCGCACCCATCCATCCCCGTTAAGAGCAGCTTCCCTACAGTCCCCTTCGACCCCTCCAGCCCCTGTAAGATCCCCTGCAGAACTCTCTCTCCCTCCCCCGCTTCGATCAAATCTGCCTGTAGCTGAGCCAACCGCCTATAGAGCTCCTCGGTAAAAGCTTTTTCCGAGAGCGCGAGCTCATGTCGAAACCCCCCTGAGTGTATCGCCCTGCCGCCGCGCTTCCCTCCTACAGCTGCTTCTCCTCCCCCCGCCGCCCGCGCTGCCCCCACCGCCGCCGCCGCTGCCGCCGTCTCCTCCTCTGCTTGCAGGAACACGTCTCGCGCCTCGGCCGCCGCTGCTTCTACCTCCCACAGCCACGCCTCCGTACTCGCTACAGACATCTCCACTTGCTGCAACTCCGCCGCGGCCTCTAGACACTCCGATGCGCAAGCAGAAGCCTCACCACCGCCACCACCAGCACCAGTGGCACCAGCGGCGGCGGCGCTGGCGGCGGCCGCGGCGGCATGACTTTCCGCCAATGCCTGAATCGCCTCCGCTGGCCGTCTGTCGGTGCTTGCCCGTCTGCTAGTCACCATACTCGCCGGAACCGAGAATGAGGCCCTACCCGTGTAGCAGTTACGCGTACCCTGAGTTCCGCGGTTTCTCGCGATTCCCGCATTCTCTGCTGCCTCTTTCCGCCCGCACACCGATCCTCCCGCGGCGAACCCCGTTTTCCCTGCGCCGGTCGTTTCTTCCGTGTCCGCGGCGCTCCCGCCTGCGCACCTGCCCTGCGCGGAGCTACGGCTCCTGCAAATTCCGCGCGGGGATTGCTCGGCCACGTTGCGCGCGCGGACCACCCGTGCGCGCATGCCCGCCAGTTCCGCCATCACCACGCGGACCTGCTCCTCCCGCTCCGCCAGCAATCCGCGCAGCAACTGCAGCTGCGACCCCACCACCCGCGCTTGCAGTTCCGCCAGGTCTAACTGCCCCTCCGCCAGTTGCGCGCGCTCCCCCAGCTCCTCCGCCGAGTGCGCGTGCTCCCCTGCGTCCTCCGCCAGCGCGCAATCCGGCGCACGTACCAGGCCGGCAGGCTGTACCGCCTGCGGCTGTAGCGGCGCTACAGACGGCGAGTGCTTGCTGTGGCATTTTTGTCGTTTTTCTAACAAGCAGAGGAAACTGGCAGGCGCGGCCGTGACTGCCGCGGCCGCAGGCGCGGGGGCGGCGGAAGGGACGCAGGCAGAGGCAGTGGTTGGCGGAACCACGTGCGCGGACGCAGTCAGACTGACCCTCAGCGATTGAAAGCGCTCCGACTGACTAGAGCGCTGGCTGAAGGGTAACTGAGTCACCTGACTCAATTCGAACACCGGCGCGTTTTCCGCTCGAGCGCTGCACTGCGTCACATGCGGCGCTTGCGCCGCTGCTGCCGCGTTCTCCGCCTGGGTCACAATCCGCACGACTCGCTCACACGTCACCGTTTCGTGATTAGACGCGCGGAGGTCTGCCATGGGTTCCCGCAATGAGGTATGATGGTTATAATCATCCTGGCGATTGGTAAGCTGCGTGCTCGGGGTGTTGCTCGTGCCGCTGGCGCTGCTGCTGCTGGCCCCACTGCTTGCACTTGTGCTCGTGCTCGTGCTGCCGTCTTGCACGATAAACGCACCACGTCCGGTTATTGCACTCCTTCTGTCCGCGCCGACGACATTACCGCGCGTCGCACGTCGGGTCGTTGTCGTCGTTGTCGTTGTCGTTGACTGTAGCGTCTCCGTTAAACCGTCACCGTGTCGCTTACCCGGCTCTGCGACAGAGTCGCATGTCGCCCTGCGACGAGTCCATCGCTGCCAGACCAGAACCTCGAGCACGCGATTAAATTGCGTCGTGCCGGCGCTCGCGCCGTGCGAAAATACCCGCGGGGGATTTAGGCAAGCCGGCACGAGCCGCGGACTCGGCGGATGAAAACCTGAACGAAAGCGCGAGGAGTCGTCGCGAGTATACTGACTTGTCGGAGAGGAGGCAGGGTCATCGCGAGGGCTGAAACGCGAGGAGGAAATTGGGTACGGGGACCGCCATGGAAAGCATTGCACGACGGTTGTTGGATATTCGTCGTCGCCTCTGTCGGGGATGGTGAGTCTTTCCGGGGCTAAATCGGCGTCCATTGTTGCATAAATATTAGGAGGTAACGAAGGTAGAAATGCTGTGGAAAACTGAAGGTTAAAATAATGGGAGCCAGGGCTTCGAGGAATTATGGAGAATCACCCGAGTTAACGTCCAATTTCTTGACGTCAGAACCCGTTCCCGTGACAACGAGGCTCATAAAACTTGAAAACTAAGCAGAATGACGTGGAAGACGCGTAGCGGTAGCATACAGATGGACAGAACCAGAACAAGAAGGCGCTGAAAGATGCAGCTAGCATTACAGTAGTCACAACCAAACCCCTCAGTCAGTATCTCTCTTGGTCTCTCTCGTCCACCAGCAGGGATTATCTCTACATGTCAGCTGATCTCCATTCTCGTCCGACGCTGCTGCTGATCTTGTCTCGAAAGCTCTTTTCCTGTCCCAGCTGGTTCGATCCATACATCTGTGGGGATAAAATCCATGACGTGAAACATGGGTTGTCTTGTTCTCAACCATAGTTCCGAACCACGACGGTAACCATATGCTTCGCAGCTCCATTTGCCCGTGGCGATTTTCGCAGGACCGCACCCAAGATGCGCTTTTTTGGCAAATGACAGCCAGGTTCCTTCCTTGGGTCAGTCAGGGTCAAGATCAGCTGGTTCGGCGCAGTCGACATTTAGGTTCGGCGGAGAAGAAAGTGACCAGGTACAGTACGCTTTATAGTCCAGGTAGGACCTGGCTGAACGAGGAACAGAGGACGAGGAAGGGGTTTGGCGGTGGGGGTTTGGGGGATCATCGTGGGATTCGGGGACCCATTGGGGAACCAACCAATCATATAGGTGTGACACCGTAGTGCACCACCAATCGTCTCCTGGGTTCCTCCCCCCAAACGTGACGCGGTGGCTTCAGAGCAGGCCTGTCGAAATTCCTGGGGCCCATACTTGGGAGTCCCCAGCTCCTCCCTATCTGACCCTCTATTGGCCGTAGCTGAGTGTTTTGGCGCCCTTAAAGCCGCGGTGCAGATATCTTAGGAACAGTGACAAACAGTTTTTTGTCTTGTTCCTTCCTGGTCGCCAATTGGCTAGCGAGAGAGTAGATAATGTTGCGATGAAGAGAAAAAGGAAACAACTGAGGCGAACGTCGCGAACCTCGAAAGTGAGGGGGAAGGGGAAGGGGTGGGGGGAGGGAAGGGGGAAACACACACGACAACGCGAAAATCGGAACCCATGAATACGCCGTCATCTCTACATTGCATAACGAAAGAGTTTGTATTTCAAGTACCACACAAATATAATATTCTGCGACTCAAAGGCACATTCTAGGATTTCAGAAATATCAAAGTTTGGGGTGGTTGTTTCCTTTCTTTTTTTTTGGGGTGCAACGAATGTACACATGGCAGGCAAACATGAGTGTCTTTAAATCCAACATGGCATCTCCAAGATGAGCTAAACTTCACACCCCTCTGATCCATTATTGATGCAGCTGTCCACCGATAGCAGGGGGGGAGGGGGGTAGGGAAGGACACCAGCCGTAGAAGTGAAAAATGTTCGATGGGGAAATTGAATGGAGGGTTGGCAGAAACAATGGGGTGCGCGAAGGTTCAAAGTGGTGGGGTGGGTGAAGGGAAGTAGTAGGGTGGGTGAAGGGATGGCCGGGAGAGGGGTGAATGGTGGGATGGGATAGGGGGAAAGGGAAGGGATGGGAGAAAGGGAAAGGAAGGGTTTAGGAATCGGGGGATGCCTTGAAAGGACAAAGGTAGGGTAAAGGGTGGATGGTGGGGGTAGGAAGGACGGACACCGATGGAAGGAGGGACGGGGACGGGGGGAAGGTTTGAACGGTAACGGGGGAAAGGAGGGACGGCGGGAGTGGGGGAGAGGAGGATTGGTGGTGGAGAGACGGTGGGAGCGAGCCGCTTGCTACCGTCGCGCCCAATCCTGCCTCCTGGGAAGGGCAAGAGGCTAAGGTATCGACGGACAAGGGGAGTTCGGGAATGGGGAGGCGTGAAACCGAAGGTGTGGCATAGGAGGATGTGCCATGGGGGATGGTGGCAGGGGGGAATGCCCTGGAACAAACAATCTCTCACGCTTGAACTAGGACAGGAATGGGATAGGACAGGGGGAAGGAGAAAGCGACAGGGGGAATGGGATAGGACAGGGGAGGGACAGGAGAGGAGGGAAAGGGATGGCCATCAGAAGGGTGAATGGTGGGATGGGATAGTGGGAACGGGAAGGGATGTGAGATAGGAAAAGGAAGGGTTCAGGAAAGGGGGAAATGAGCAGGAAAAGCAGCGACGGTAGTGGGGGAAAAGGGACGAATGGGGGCAAGGGGACGGATGAGAGCAGGGGGGAGCAGTGGGTTGGGAGAGGGGAAAGGAGGGAGGGAGAAGAAGGGGAGGGAAGGATAGGGGGACAGGGCAGAAAGAACAGGGGGGAGGATTAAGCATCAGGAGGAACGAAAACGATGAAAGGGAGGGAAGGACTAAGGGGAAAGGGAGAGAATGACAGGGGGAAAGTCTCAAAGTTAGCGAACAACGGAATGATTGGAATAGAAACGAATGGGGTACAAATGAGCAACCCTAGAAGCTGTACCCCCTAGAGTGCAACTCACTATAGCCTATCATATCAATGTTCAACATTTGACACACCCCCATAGGCTAAGTGAGGGGCATCAAAGCAAGCAAGGTGAACAAACGGTCACAAGACCAGTCAAACCAAGAACCAAGGCAAGCTCAGGGTGGATCTCAAGGACACCACACAAATTCCGAGCGCAAGCAAGCGGCCACAAGGCCAGTTCAAGAGTTCACTAGGATATAAATACAAAGCACAACAAGCAGAGCAAGCAATAGGACTACACCAACCGAGGGCCTACCTCAACAAGCCCCAACTGCACACAGAACCTGTGGTGGTCACCAAGCGCCAAGGCCTTGGTGAAGACGTCTGCAGTGTTGGCCTCTGAGGCCACAAAGTCCAGGCGTGCCTGACCGCGTCGCTGCAGCTCTCGCAGGAGGAAGTACCTCACGTCAATATGCTTCACTCTGCTCTCCAGTCGAGGCTCTCGACACAGGAGGATCATGGCCTTGTTGTCAGCGTACAAGGTCGGTGCAGAGCGAGGCCGCTCACCAAGGTCAGCGAGCAAGAAGGTCAACCAGCGAAGCTCCTGTGCCGCCATGGCACCAGCGTAGATCTCTGCCTCTGCACTGGAAGTAGCCACAGACGACGACCGTGTAGACCTCCACGACACAGCACCAGCTCCCAGACTGAAGCAGTAACCCTGAGTCGAACGCTGAGTCTCCACGTCGTCAGCGTAGGAAGAGTCGCAGTGACCAGTCAACGCCACTGGCTGAGTCCCTCCAAGCACAAGCCCCAAGCCTGATGTAGTCGCCAGGTACTTCGCCACCCTCACAGCAGCTGTCCAGTGGACAGGGCGGTGTCTCCCAGTCGCAACAAAGCGAGAAAGGATGCTGAGTGGAAAGGCGAGGTCCGGTCGAGTACAAGTCATCAGGTACATGAGGCAGCCCACCAGCTCTGCGTAGGGTCCACTGGACTCAAAGGGCTCGTCAGGAAAGGGGCCCGTAAGTCTGTGGTCAACAGCAAGAGGAGTGGGCTGTGTGGTGGAGAACTGGAAGTGGAACCGCCGAAGGACCTGCTGCACCATGTGTGACTGCGTCAGTGTGATGGTGCGAGCGGCTCTGTCCCGGGTGATCTGCAGGCCAAGGTAGCGCTGCAGCTCACCCAGGTCAGTGCACTTGTGTCTCTTCTGCAGTTCGGACTTCACCTGAGCCAGGGCTGCCCTGTCTGCTGTAGCAAACACCAAGTCGTCGACGTAGACAAGGATAAAGAAAGGAGTAGAACCCGCTCGAACAAACAGCGACGGGTCGGCGGAGGACGGGCTGAACCCAAGGTCACAAAGCGTGGAGCGAAGAGTGTCGTGCCACTCACGGGGCGACTGGCAGAGAACGTAGACTGGTCGCCTCAGGCTCCACTGGGTCCCAGGTGGGAAGGTGTCAGTGAAGCCAGGAGGACGGCGCAGCCAGATCTCCTCGTGCAGTCGGCCCTGGAGGAACGCAGTGGAGAAGTCGAGGGAGTGCAGCTCGTAGTCTCGCTGCGCTGCTATGTGGAGTAACACCCGAAGAGTAGTCATCTTCGGGGTCGGGGCGAAGGTCTGGAAGAAGTCAACTCCCTCACGCTGACTGAAACCCCTAGCCACGTAGCGCGCCTTGAACACCGGCAGTGCTCCAGGCGGCCGCTTCACCTTGAAGAGCCACATGCCATCGACTACGTTCGCCCTGGGAGGGGGAACTGCGTCGACGTAGGTGCCTGTGGATCTCCAAGACGCCAACTCTGAGTCCATAGCCGCTTTCCACTGAGAGGCCCACGCCCCTGACACTGCCTC